TTCACATTAACTTTCAATGTTAAATTCACATTAAATATAAAGTCTGTCGTATTAAAACTATGTTATAGCATGACACCCATATCTGTTACTTAAGTAAATAGACAGGTTTTTATACATAGTTAATAGACTACATTATTAGGCCATCGCCCACTACAGATCAACTAACATAGGTGAGAATCCAGATATTTCATGATGTAGTTAATGCGTTTGGGAATGTTTTGAATAAAAAGGAAAACGAATAAATAAAACATATGAACATAAGTGCTATTGTGGCTGCTGTGTGTCACATGACCCCCCCCCTTTTGGAAAGTTTCCGGAAATTGTCCACCCCTTTGCAATCCTAATTTTAATTGCTTTCAAATTAGGCTTTTTTGGTCAATTTGGTCAATTATAATTTGCAGTCTCCGCTGTTTTAAATTATGTTTTTACTAAATTTCACAATTTCTTTTAAAAATAGCAGATACAACACTTTTCAACTACATGATTTATTTAAGCCAATGTAACAATAATACCTTTTTACCACTTCATGAGCACATTTTACTGAATATTACGCTGTTCAAAGAATGTCCAGTTCATTTCTATAGGATGTTTTGTAAAGCTGGTTTGGGTTAGCAAGAGCCACCAAAGGGACGAGGCTTAGCAAAGGATAAATTATATTTTCAGAGCGTTCAAATGTAAAACTGATTTAAATGGGTCTCATCTGAAGTTGCCTCTAAAAGTGATTTAAAGTTTGTAAAGAAATTAAAGAGAATTCCCTCTCTAATATGTAGAAAATTCTGAGCTAATGTGTAATGTAAACCAGTACATATCTGCAACAAAAACAGGAATAAACTATTCTGAGGCTATGCTCTGAGTTATTTCAGGCTTTGCAATCTTCTAATCTTTGCTGTATTGGCTACAGTGTGGATATATTGCACTCTGCTGTCTACCATTTTTTCCGAAAATATTTTGCTTTTTTCAAATGTAAATCTATGGAGGTTCTGTTTGTTGGGTAAGTTTAAATACCAGATTACCAAAAATATGGTAAAGCATTGTTTCCCTTGTGTTAACAATTGCGTTCCCTAATGCTATCAATTGTAATTAGAGTTGCAAAATGGTGGAAAATTTCCAGAAAATTTCCAAAACTTTCCAGAAATTTTGGACATTTTCTGAAACTTTTGGAAAGTTTCCGGAAATTGTCCACCCCTTTGCAATCCTAATTTTAATTGCTTTCAAATTAGGCTTTTTTGGTCAATTTGGTCAATTATAATTTGCAGTCTCCGCTGTTTTAAATTATGTTTTTACTAAATTTCACAATTTCTTTTAAAAATAGCAGATACAACACTTTTCAACTACATGATTTATTTAAGCCAATGTAACAATAATACCTTTTTACCACTTCATGAGCACATTTTACTGAATATTACGCTGTTCAAAGAATGTCCAGTTCATTTCTATAGGATGTTTTGTAAAGCTGGTTTGGGTTAGCAAGAGCCACCAAAGGGACGAGGCTTAGCAAAGGATAAATTATATTTTCAGAGCGTTCAAATGTAAAACTGATTTAAATGGGTCTCATCTGAAGTTGCCTCTAAAAGTGATTTAAAGTTTGTAAAGAAATTAAAGAGAATTCCCTCTCTAATATGTAGAAAATTCTGAGCTAATGTGTAATGTAAACCAGTACATATCTGCAACAAAAACAGGAATAAACTATTCTGAGGCTATGCTCTGAGTTATTTCAGGCTTTGCAATCTTCTAATCTTTGCTGTATTGGCTACAGTGTGGATATATTGCACATTCCCCAGAGCCATGTAGCAGCACTCAATGTCTTACTGCCTGTACATCTTACTTACTTACAGACTGTTTACTGCCCTCTTACTGCCACAAACAGCACTGCCTGACCATTACAATTACAAATAATTACCATCATTACAGTCTTGCAGGCTAATTGATGAGAGAACCCAGTCAATTTGGTTTGTGTGTGTGTGTGTGTGTGTGTGTGGAGAGAGAGAGAGACAAAGAGACATCTAACAGTGACATAATAGTCTGAAAAAAAAAGCACAGTCATTGGAGATTGGGTTTGAATTGTATTGTCACAAGTCTGGATTATAATATATAACACAGAAATACTGAATAGCCAGCAGGTGGAGGGGAGCGAGAGTTATTTCACATTTAACAAAAACATGCCAATAGAAATTGAGGTTGGTTACTTTATAGATTTAAAACGTGAAATTTCAGCCAAGGGGCAAAATAGGAAGAGACAGAAAAAAATCTGTTATTAAGCGTGCTTATGTTAGGAGGAAATCAAAAAAGGATGCGTTTGCCCCCAGAAATAAAGTTTTTTATTTTTATCTTCATCTATCACATCAAGCCATAGTCATGTGGTGCTCTCTAGTGTTGAAAAGCGGGAATTGCAATTACATATAATGTATCATCACTAGAGTAGAATGTCGTCTTTACTCACTGGAAACAAAAGAGGGCAAATTAAACTCGTTTGCGTGTATTTGTAGCTGAATGCATCGCCGTTTGCAAAATAAATAACACAGTTCTATAATAACTATTTTTAACTAATTTAAAACATTTTCTTGTAACCTGCAGCTGGTTTTTGCATCTTTATTTCATCACCATTGCTGCTTGCACTCACAATTTCCCATAAATTGTATTTTGTCGTTGAAAACTGAATATAATGCTAGACTACTGCTACGTTGAAGTATTTGTTGACTCAAATACTTCAAGTCCCAGAAATCTTAGCGAGTTCAAAATGGCGCCCAGTCAATGACAGTAGTGACACTAGTACGCTGAATATTGTGGATATTTAAGTGCCATCGTATGTCCTCGACAGAATGACACTACTAATTAGATTATCGAAACAAGTACAGAGGAAATCTTTCCAAAATCCCTTATTGTATAGGCTTTTATCGGAGAGCTCGGCTTTACGGAAAGGCCCCGAGAGCAAAGAGGAGTGTAAATGGTTGCACGGATCGTCTCAGGAAATGTTATCCGTAGTGCGTGGGCATGTTGAAGTTAGACAGAATTTCATCAGCGAGGAAGAGGAGAATGCCCTTTTCAAAGAAGTAGAGACAGGACTTAGAAAAAAGCGATATGAGTTTGACCACTGGGACGATGTAAGTACCATTGAGAAGTGTGTAAACAAACACTGCCATCCAGCGTTATTTCATACCCGTTGTTTGTGATTGCTACTCTCAACGTTTTTATGGTTGTAGCTTATGTGTAGTGTACTGGAGTAGTTCCAATCTACCTGTACTTTCCAAGTGAACCCAAGACTTTCTTGAAAACGTTCCTACTATAAGTGAAATAGGTGTGCTGATTAATAATATTTTTTCTCTGAGAAAGCGGTGAATAAAGAATTTGAGCGCGAACCGCGCGTGTTAGCCAATCAGAAATCTAGCAGGTGGCTCTCTTCCAATCCCATGAGTTTTGGGCGGGGCTACTTTGTCGGAACAACCAAAGAGAGGGAAGTGTTTGGGAAACCTGCTTGGAAACAGTAGTTTTGTCGTCGTTGGTGCAGCTCACTCCGTTAAAAACAAAACAAACAAACAAAAAACATCATAATAAAGCTTAATAACATAGACACAGTTTATTACGTTTTATGATGAAGTACTAAGTGGGTTTCATGTGTCCCACTACACATGAACCTAAAGTAAAACTAAAATAATTTCCATTGAAATTAAAGATCCATCTTTCTACAGTCTAGGTCTTGACCTCAATTGTTCTCCACTTGTTAATAAAAACCAACATTGTTGTTATAACTAAATAAGGTTGTAAACATATTTCTAGGGCATTTTATTTGTAAAATTCCTACTGTTAATTATTGGCCATTGGCTATTAATTACCTTCGCCCCATTTTCCAGTTCTTTGGTACATTTCTCTTTCACCACTCAGGCTATTCACGGCTACAGAGAAACAGAGCGCCTGCAGTGGGGAGTTGTGTGTGAAAGTATCTTAAGGCGGGTGAGAGCAGTTGCATTTCCTGAAGGCAGTCCACTGCTTGGGCCAATTCATGTTCTGGACCTGGACAAAGAGGGCTTTATCAAACCCCATATTGACAGTGTGAAGGTCTGCCTCTCAGTTATTTGTACAATATTGATGTTCTCCACACTTAACACTGTTATTTGTACATTATTAATGTTCTCTGTGCCTGCTGTTCTCTCTTGCCAGTTCTGTGGAAGCACTATTGCAGGGCTGAGCCTGTTGTCCGATAGTGTTATGCGAATAATCCCAGAAAACAAATCCACAGATTGGGTGGACTTGCTTCTGAGTCGGCGCTCACTTTATATATTAAGGTGTTTCATTTTCTTTCTTGATATTTCACAAAACCCAGCATTTTTTTTTTTTTTTTTATATCTCACAAAACTGGCAGAAGAATATTTTGTTTTCCACAAAAGGTGAACATCTATTTTAGATGACATTCAAAATTTGAATTGTAAAACACGTGTTCATATCAACAGGGATGATGCTCGATTTAAATTCACCCATGAAATCCTGAAAGATGAAGAATCCTTTTTCTCAGGACAGAAGGTTCCACGTCATCGCCGCATCTCTGTCATCTGTCGAAACCTGCCTGTTTAAAAGAACTGGACTGACCTTGGCACTTGTCTTGGAAATGCTGTGGCTTTTTCATACTACCTTTGACTAGAGTTGTTCATCTTTCAGATACTCACACACAGGTAGCTAAAAATGTATAAATCGGATGCATTTTCCTAGAATAACCACAAAGAAACAACTGCTGGAAAACAATTTTTAACATTAGGATAACATTCACCTCACTGAAATATTGTCCAAATACCTGTATTGAATAATTGAAGGAAAAAGATTTGATTGATACAATGTATAATGTAAATTAAGTCAGGGAAAAGGATTAAGACAGTGATTGGAACTGCTTCTTATTTACAATGTCTATTAATAAATATTTTTTGCTATCCACTATTGTGGCTTTCTTCTCAAACAATACATTACTGATGCATACAATATGAAATTTAAACAAATAAACACAAACACTGTTATTTATTTCGGAACAAATTTAATGTACTACCAAAGGAGAAATCTCCTGCAAAAGTTTTACTTTTTACAGCCAGTTTAAAAAAAAAAAAACAGCAAACAAATGTGATAAGAAATGAATGTGTAATAAAAGCCACAGATGCGATTGTATTCTCTGGGTAAGGACCCTCTCTCAAAATTCAGCAGGTTTTCATGAAAAATCATTGTGTTGATATTACCCAGCTTCTCTCTGTTATTCAACTTGTCATTAACAGGCATAAATGTGGAATTTGCAAACACATCTTTCCTGTATCCGTTACAATATACAAAAACCTACTCCATTGCTTGCTTCTCAGTTTTCTGTCTCATATGGAACTCGATTAACAACACTTAAATACTACTGTTAATAAATGCTGAATGGTTGAAAGCAAAATGACAAATTTCAGATCAAGTTGGTAGCCTTGACCCAAAAGAGCTGTATTGTTAAAGGAGAGGCTGCTGGTGATGGGCGCTCAGTTCCACTCTCTCCTCAGCTGTGCTCACTCAGTGAGGTAGAAGTGCATCTTGTCACTGATGTTCTTCCTCTCTGGGTTGAGCCTCTTCAAGATCTGGGCGAGCACGTTGACTGTCTGCTCGCTGCTGAGACCTGTGCGCTTAGTCTGGAACTTCTTCAGCAGGTCTTTAGTGGTCATGGGCTTCCTGATGAGATACCTGCGCACGGCATCCTCCGTCAGCAGCACATCACTAAAGGGTAGACGTTATACATGCTTGAAATAAGCGAGACATAATGCAGTTTGCGACTGTGGCAATGCTTGAAGGGATAAAATGTGAAGAATTGTGATGTTTTGAGACATTTGGCATAAACTCTGCATTATGGGTCTAATACACACAGTGTCATAGTGTTACTGGATACAGTACTGCAGTGCTTCCCACAGGTTTGAAATATACTTGCGGTGGTAGCCGCAGCCGGGTTGAAAATCCTATTACCCACGGCCAAAAATGGTCTACTACATGTGACAAATAACAAATAATGTGGGATTTTTAACAATATTTGTATTTATTGCAATTCAATTTAATTGCATAGGCTACTATTACATTTAATTACATACTCATATTATGCATTGTAAATTATGCAAAATTACAGCATTTAAATGGTAGAATTCTCCTTGCTTTGTCATATAGTGTCTCTCTCAGTGAATGGGACACAGATTTTACTGATACTAGTAAAATCTATATATTGAATAATGTGTCAAATAATGTTCTTTGACTTTTCTTCCTGTGGGGAAGCATCCCAGCCAGAAACTACAATAGTTTACTATGAATTAAATGGAAATTAAATTAAATACCATTTATTGTGCAACCAATAACGCCCAGAGAAGAAAAGAAAAACTTGACTTTTAATTAAAAACAAGCCCGAAAAACACCGGGACTCTTATTTTTAAATGTCTACATTGCGGCCTGGTCCTTCAGATGAGAGATAAAATATGCATTCTTACAACCGTCTAAAACATATTATATAAATGTCATAAAGTAGACATTGTCATAATTCAACGAGTTCATAATCAATCGCTTACCATATATGTGCGCTATTCATTGAGAGTCACTTTGAAGCTGTCTGAAGCGCTGTTGCGCGAACCTGTTGAACAACGTGCAGCGCTCTTTTTTAATGAAATCATAGCCTTTTGAAGTTTAATAATCAATAGGCTCAGGCTGTATCGCAATTTATGTTTTTCCATCCTCAAATATAAGACGTCTTAAAATAATCATTAAGATGTTTGTTTTACCATTTCGTGTATTGAATACTTTTTTATGAAATTAAATTTAAGAAAACTCGCCCTGAGGGATTTTGCTTTATTCGCACACGTGCTCCTAAATACATTTTACAGTTCGCACACATCTATTTTTAGTCACAAATGCGAGTGAAGCGCCCACACTGTCGAGCCCTGTCTTTGTCTCTGCAGCGCACGAGGGAATGTCAGCGGGAGGAAACAGTTCTCGCGCACACAGAACGAGCAGATAGGAAACGTAGGGCAAGGGGAGATATTCCACTAGTTAATCGATCGCGGATGTTTTCATCATTTCGGTTGGATAAAAAAAAACTATAAGAGGATAAAAATAATAAAAGCAAAAATGTTTCTCCAAATATACTTGGGCGGCAGCCCAGGTAAAGTCTATGTGGGGGAAACACTGGTACTGTATGGTTTAATGCAAGTTTAACTGGGTCCTCCTTCTCTCAGGGGATAGAGGAAATCAGCTGAAAGCTGGAGAAAAGACCCAGGACACAGAGATAGGGAGAAGAGATGGAGAGCTGAGGGTTTAGATAATGTTTAAGAAAAAAAAGTACCTGGCGCTGGGGGTGGATTTCCCTGACGCTGGTTGGGGTGTGCTCTTCCCTGAAGAGCTCTGAGGGCTGGGCTCCATCTTTAATCTCTTCGCAGCCGGAGTCTCTGAGCTGAGCACAGTTGTCTGCCGCTTACCTGAGACAGAGGAGCAGATACATGAAGTTAAAACTTTACTTAACCCTTAGCAGTGAAGAGAAACAGAGACAAGATGAGATACTAGTCAGATAATACAAGTAATGTCACGGCTTATTACAAAAATTCTCTCATCATCTACTCACCCTCATGCCATCCTAGATGTATATGACTTTCTTTAGATAAATACAAACAAAGATTTTTTTTAGACAAATAATTCATCTCTGAGTCCATATAATGAAAGTGTATGGGACTCCCAAAATTGATGCTTCAAAATAAATAAACATAACAGCCCCCTGTACCAACTGAGTCATATGCATTACCCTGTTCACTTCGTTTGGTTTTTAAAGCTTCAACTTTGGAGGTCCCGTACACCTTGCATTATATGGACTCTATGGATTCTTTTTCTAAAAATCTTTGTGTTCATCTGAAGAGAGAGTCATACACATCTGTGACAGCATGAGGGTGTGTAAATGAGAGAATTTTTGGCTGGAATATCCCTTTACCTGACAAAAGTTTGATCAATTAAAAAAAAAAAAAAATTATTATATATATATAAAAAAGCCACAGATGCGATTGTATTCTCTGGGTAAGGACCCTCTCTCAAAATTCAGCAGGTTTTCATGAAAAATCATTGTGTTGATATTACCCAGCTTCTCTCTGTTATTCAACTTGTCATTAACAGGCATAAATGTGGAATTTGCAAACACATCTTTCCTGTATCCGTTACAATATACAAAAACCTACTCCATTGCTTGCTTCTCAGTTTTCTGTCTCATATGGAACTCGATTAACAACACTTAAATACTACTGTTAATAAATGCTGAATGGTTGAAAGCAAAATGACAAATTTCAGATCAAGTTGGTAGCCTTGACCCAAAAGAGCTGTATTGTTAAAGGAGAGGCTGCTGGTGATGGGCGCTCAGTTCCACTCTCTCCTCAGCTGTGCTCACTCAGTGAGGTAGAAGTGCATCTTGTCACTGATGTTCTTCCTCTCTGGGTTGAGCCTCTTCAAGATCTGGGCGAGCACGTTGACTGTCTGCTCGCTGCTGAGACCTGTGCGCTTAGTCTGGAACTTCTTCAGCAGGTCTTTAGTGGTCATGGGCTTCCTGATGAGATACCTGCGCACGGCATCCTCCGTCAGCAGCACATCACTAAAGGGTAGACGTTATACATGCTTGAAGTAAGCGAGACATAATGCAGTTTGCGACTGTGGCAATGCTTGAAGGGATAAAATGTGAAGAATTGTGATGTTTTGAGACATTTGGCATAAACTCTGCATTATGGGTCTAATACACACAGTGTCATAGTGTTACTGGATACAGTACTGCAGTGCTTCCCACAGGTTTGAAATATACTTGCGGTGGTAGCCGCAGCCGGGTTGAAAATCCTATTACCCACGGCCAAAAATGGTCTACTACATGTGACAAATAACAAATAATGTGGGATTTTTAACAATATTTGTATTTATTGCAATTCAATTTAATTGCATAGGCTACTATTACATTTAATTACATACTCATATTATGCATTGTAAATTATGCAAAATTACAGCATTTAAATGGTAGAATTCTCCTTGCTTTGTCATATAGTGTCTCTCTCAGTGAATGGGACACAGATTTTACTGATACTAGTAAAATCTATATATTGAATAATGTGTCAAATAATGTTCTTTGACTTTTCTTCCTGTGGGGAAGCATCCCAGCCAGAAACTACAATAGTTTACTATGAATTAAATGGAAATTAAATTAAATACCATTTATTGTGCAACCAATAACGCCCAGAGAAGAAAAGAAAAACTTGACTTTTAATTAAAAACAAGCCCGAAAAACACCGGGACTCTTATTTTTAAATGTCTACATTGCGGCCTGGTCCTTCAGATGAGAGATAAAATATGCATTCTTACAACCGTCTAAAACATATTATATAAATGTCATAAAGTAGACATTGTCATAATTCAACGAGTTCATAATCAATCGCTTACCATATATGTGCGCTATTCATTGAGAGTCACTTTGAAGCTGTCTGAAGCGCTGTTGCGCGAACCTGTTGAACAACGTGCAGCGCTCTTTTTTAATGAAATCATAGCCTTTTGAAGTTTAATAATCAATAGGCTCAGGCTGTATCGCAATTTATGTTTTTCCATCCTCAAATATAAGACGTCTTAAAATAATCATTAAGATGTTTGTTTTACCATTTCGTGTATTGAATACTTTTTTATGAAATTAAATTTAAGAAAACTCGCCCTGAGGGATTTTGCTTTATTCGCACACGTGCTCCTAAATACATTTTACAGTTCGCACACATCTATTTTTAGTCACAAATGCGAGTGAAGCGCCCACACTGTCGAGCCCTGTCTTTGTCTCTGCAGCGCACGAGGGAATGTCAGCGGGAGGAAACAGTTCTCGCGCACACAGAACGAGCAGATAGGAAACGTAGGGCAAGGGGAGATATTCCACTAGTTAATCGATCGCGGATGTTTTCATCATTTCGGTTGGATAAAAAAAAACTATAAGAGGATAAAAATAATAAAAGCAAAAATGTTTCTCCAAATATACTTGGGCGGCAGCCCAGGTAAAGTCTATGTGGGGGAAACACTGGTACTGTATGGTTTAATGCAAGTTTAACTGGGTCCTCCTTCTCTCAGGGGATAGAGGAAATCAGCTGAAAGCTGGAGAAAAGACCCAGGACACAGAGATAGGGAGAAGAGATGGAGAGCTGAGGGTTTAGATAATGTTTAAGAAAAAAAAGTACCTGGCGCTGGGGGTGGATTTCCCTGACGCTGGTTGGGGTGTGCTCTTCCCTGAAGAGCTCTGAGGGCTGGGCTCCATCTTTAATCTCTTCGCAGCCGGAGTCTCTGAGCTGAGCACAGTTGTCTGCCGCTTACCTGAGACAGAGGAGCAGATACATGAAGTTAAAACTTTACTTAACCCTTAGCAGTGAAGAGAAACAGAGACAAGATGAGATACTAGTCAGATAATACAAGTAATGTCACGGCTTATTACAAAAATTCTCTCATCATCTACTCACCCTCATGCCATCCTAGATGTATATGACTTTCTTTAGATAAATACAAACAAAGATTTTTTTTAGACAAATAATTCATCTCTGAGTCCATATAATGAAAGTGTATGGGACTCCCAAAATTGATGCTTCAAAATAAATAAACATAACAGCCCCCTGTACCAACTGAGTCATATGCATTACCCTGTTCACTTCGTTTGGTTTTTAAAGCTTCAACTTTGGAGGTCCCGTACACCTTGCATTATATGGACTCTATGGATTCTTTTTCTAAAAATCTTTGTGTTCATCTGAAGAGAGAGTCATACACATCTGTGACAGCATGAGGGTGTGTAAATGAGAGAATTTTTGGCTGGAATATCCCTTTACCTGACAAAAGTTTGATCAATTAAAAAAAAAAAAAAATTATTATATATATATAAAAAAAATGCATATTAATATGCTCCTAAACCCACTTTCTGTAATCTATTTTCATGCTATTTTCTTGCCACAACATCATGCAGTAATTTTTTTTTTTCTCTGCAAATATTTATGCTATTAAATCAAGCAAGTAATAGCCTTGCAGTTCATGCAATTAATTTGATTAACTTTTTAATCAGCTGAGTTTCATGGAGTGTACCTTGCTCTAGTTTGTTGGCAGCGGCACGGAGAGTGTTGGAAGTGGCAGCGCTGTCGATAGAAGGTGTGCCAGGTCGACTTCCTGTCCTTGAACTACCTGCTGAGCTGCCTCTCCTTCAATATCACTGTCCTCAGAGCTGTCGGATTCGCCACTGCTGTCTGAAACAACATACACAATGATTTTTACAAAATGGGAAAAAATAAATATAACAATATAGAGAACGTCAACATTATGGAGGATTTTGGAAGATTAGCACTTAAAAAATTACAAAGCATTTATCAATATATGAATTATAAAAGTTGCATTTAAAATAATTCAATACATTATTTTACTGTTACATTTAACTAAAATTATGAATGTGTATTTTTATTTTTAAACGAAATAATTTTTAAAGGTTTCATATAAAAAGTTTTTATTTTGAAATGAACTGATAATTAATTCCTTCATTTTATTGTTATGTTTAGTGGTATGCCTACTAGTATCCAATAAACATGACTAACTCTTTCAAATACAAAGAAAAAATCCAAAATTAGATTGCCTTTACCTTTCTTTTTCTTCTTTTCCACCTGCACCGGTGTCTTCTTTCCATCTTCTTCCTCTTCTTCCTCCTTGCCATCTTCTTCATTCTTGTTTTCTTCCTCACTCTCTTCCTCACTCTCAGACATTTCATCAATTCCTGAAAAAAGCCACTGGAGCTTCATGGAGTCGTCTCAAATCAAACATCAGAATGAAATGAAGTACACTCCTGTAGAAAGGCAAAAACAAAACAAAAAAACACTTTCAGAGTTACTAACCTTTAGGGACGTCCTCTCCCTTATTGGGCTTCGTCTTCTCTGGCTCTTCTTCTTCAGAACTGGAGCAAAGAAAGAATGATTATGACTAGACTGCAGTAACCATGAAGAGAGACTTTGTATAAAGGGCTGTTAATATTTGGCAAAAGTAACTGTACATAAAGATTTGTGTAGTAGTCACCTGCTCTCATCAGACATGTAGTCCACCTCCAACCCCTCAAAGTCACCATCATCACTATCCTCGAACCCTTCCAGGTCGCTGCCCTTTTTCTTCTTCTTCTTTCCCTTGCCTTTGGGGCCTTTGTCCTTTTTAGCTTTTGACTTGGCTTCATCATCTGCATTGAAAGAAGGCATTTTGGTAAGAAAGCCCTACATTTGACACTCCTCTCGTTCTCAGAGCCGTTGCTCACCATCTCCATTGCTGCCGTCACTCTCATCGCTGCTCATTTCCAAATCCTCCTCAAGGTCATGTATGCGCAGGTCTCCTCCCCTGCCTCCCTTCTTCTTCTTTTTCTTCCCCCCCTTCTCTCCTTCCTCCTCATCATCCTCTCCTCGCTCCTGTCCTCTGAGGCGTCGCTGAA